CGGCCGAGGATGCGGACGCGGATGAGACGAGGCTACCGGGCGTAGCGCCGTTCTGATGATGGTGGCCTAGAGTATAGTTAACCATAGGGTCGGCGGAGGCAGGTGCTACATTGCCGGTCAGACTAGCTGTGTAACGGCACGATTTGTCGCCGGCGGTCGCGGCGTCGACGGCAGCGGCGGCGGCTAGAGCAGCGCTGGACGCTGCCGTGGAGCCGAAACCGGGCACCATACTCGACGTCGCACCGAATGCGGCGGCCGCGACCGCTTGCTGCTGCTGATGATGATGATGCGCCGCTGCGGCGGACACGTATGGATACATACTGGATGTGGTACGTGCCGCCGGTGATGTCGAAGCAGAGCTTCCCGAGTGCTGGGGACTCGAACCCGTCGGGCTCGGTGAATTGTGCTGCTGTGCGTAATTGACTGCCGCGGCCGCTACTGCAGCCGCGGATAAACTCGATTCTAGGCTCGCGGTGGCCGGACTCGTCGTGCACTGAATGGTACCTGGAGTCGCGCTTGAGAACAACTGTTGAGGGTGGAATTGTTGGTACTTAGCAGGTAGCATACTATCAATTATGAATTTCGTACTCATATCGCCTGTCGGTGTCGATGTGGACTTGATGCCGAAGACACGCCCGGGCTGGACGACCGGGACGAGTGTCTCAACACCGACACCGTGGCGATACGTCCTGCACCGGCTGTTGCCTCATTGCCGCGCGTAATCCGTAATCCGTATTCGCAACGGATCACGAGAGAACACTCGGCGATCTCTCTCGCGAAACTGGTGAAACGCGCGCGCGCACTTTCCGCTCGCCGCTGGAAATCCCTTTCGTTTGCGTTTTATCGCTTTCCGGGTCCACTATCGCTTTCCTTATCAGCCATCAACGTCCACTTTTACTGCCACTTACGCAACTCAGCACATTATCACAACAACAATACCGAACGCGACGGGATGCGGTCACCGGGGACAACTGACCACGAATCACCGACCATCCGCGATGGCAAATGACATGTCCCTCCTCTCGCGATCACGGGATTCGGCGATCACGCGGAATTCGCGGGATCTTGCCGTTTGCAATTATGAATCCTGTGCCCGTGCCTGTGCCTCGACCTCGACGTAATCGCGCCTTTCGATTACGAATCCATCCGTATCGGAATAAGAATCGGCGATAAAGCGGCCGGGTCCTTCTTCTCGCCGGGCCCACCCAATCGTGGTCCCAGCTCGGAAATTGGGCGACGGTGAACCCGGCGACCGGCACGAGGAGAGAGAAGAGAAGAGCGTGGCCCCTGTCAGGTGTTAGAAGCCGTTTCTTGCGTACTTCTCGGATAGTCGACGAATCCTTTATGGGCCATGCATGAAGGTACTATAGCCCCCTATCCCGAACGCCGCGTACTACAACCCACGGCCAGCTAAATGTAACCCCTTACAATAATGGCGCCGCTTGTCTCTCCGTTCTGTTCCCCCCTCTCCTTCTACGAGTCTCGAGCGCGCCGGGGTACCAGCTGGTAAACAGAGCCGTCCAATCGTCGCGCGGCCTCACCAGAGCTCGACCAATCGCAACCTTGCTAGGCGCGCCAAGATGAATGGATCTCTTTCTCCCTCGGTTCTCCTCTCGCTCCGATCTTCGCTTACGGCTATACCTCGTGCTCTCTTCCTTCACTTGAGACTTGAGGCACCTCTCGCTTCCACGCTCATCTCGTATACCCGGCGTGCTCCGTCCGTCCGACGGTCCGTACCTTCGCCTCTTGCCAGTGCAGTCGTGCTCGCCACGTTGCCTTATACCTTGCAACGTTTCAACGTCTCACACGGTATTTTCTGTCCTCCTCTACGTTTCTTCACTCGTCTCTCTTTCTCTCTTTCTCGATCTTTCTCTCTCTCTCTCTCTCTCTCTCTTCTTTCGTTTGAGTGCAATCTTTTTATCTCATTTTTATTCTACCTCCTTGTCGAAATTATTTTTTTCTTTCTTTTTCGATCTCATCAAGGTAGCTCTTTTTCAAATTTCTACTTCGTACACATTGCTTGTTTCCTATTCAGTCTGTATTAATTCTAAGATAGACTATCTTTCAACGCAGAGAATTACTATTAAATCTTGAAATACTCCAACTCTAACGTATGTATATCATTTGCAATTATTTCTTTTATTACTTCTTCCATCGTTGTAATAGCATTGTTTTTAATTAAACAAAATAACTTTTTTATTTCATTTTAGTCAGATTTCTTCCTTTTATTCTTTTTTATTAACAATTTAATATTTATAGTGATAATTATAATTTTTTAAGCGATAGGCCTTTAAGATATGATGTTTTATATTTATATTTATTAGTCAGCTGTAAATTTCACTTCATTAGCAGAACGTATCATATATTATAGACAAAACAATTTGTCATCTATTTTCTTAAGTAATTACAAGAAGTTTTTATTTGAAGACTTGTTATTTTCTTTATTATCTAAATTAGCTTTTTTTAAATCAGGTATTTCTATTTTATATTTATTTGATTTGAGGTAATTTATATACATATGTATCACGACCGAGTGTATCATTAATAAAGAATTCATTTTCAAAATGATCCTCTTTTTATCACACTGAATACAATTGTGTGTGTGTGTGTGTGTGTGTGTGTGTGTGTGTGTGTGTGTGTGTGTGTG